AGCTGTATTTTGCTGGGATTCTTGTCTCCTTTCTGACCTTATCCTGTGCCTTTAAATAGTCTATGTGCATTTTATCTGGAGCCACTACTTGTCTAGTGTTCCCTCTTAACACTAGGGGAAGGGTTTTTCATTTTTCCCTTGGCTCATTGACCTCATACTAAATGGTCCCAGGGGTGACTCTGACACCTGCCTCCAGAAGAAGGAGCCTGTGGCTTCTCAGTGTCTAGATATAAAGGTCCTGTACAGAGTGGGAACAGTGACATCCCTCATGCCAACATGATCAGTCTCCAGCCTAGTCTTTTCTTCTCATCCCTCTTCTCTCAGAATAAGCTGTTTTCAGTTCTTCTCTAACGCTTTTTTTAATCCTTCATCTGATACTGTGACATAGTAGGTGAGTTTAAAAGCATTTAAGGTGGAGGGATTGGCAGGGAGGTGTGTGTGCGTGTGCGTGTGTGTGTTTAGGAGTTGCTGTAAGGGACAGAGACTGGGGGCTGGGGGAGTGGAAATGTAAGGACAAAGGATCAATGAGCCAAAGGTTGAGAAAGGAATTGCAACATGATAGGACACAGGGAGTATGGGCATTGGGGGAGATATCAGTGGGACTAGGCTGTGGACACTGGTTGGAAATAGGAATAGGAAAGCAGAGAAGGATCACATAAAGCACAAGGAGGATCTAGGGAATAGACACTTGTTGATAAAAAGGTTTGTAATGAAGGTAGATTATAGGACAGTTCATATAGTGGCCAGAATCAACACAACCAGGATAGGGGATATTAGTGGGGCTATTCATGAAAATGGTTCAGGTTTTAATCACCACCTCATTTTTTGGCAAAACAAGAAAGCTATTGGAGAAGGATTAATTCACTAATTCCATGCCTTATTTATTCAGATATTTCCTATGTACCTATTGATGTGCAGCCTCTGTGCTTATTGCTGTGAACACTGCACTCTCAAAGTGAGGAAGACTCTTGAGGAAACTCTCTTGGGAATCTGGATGTCAACTGTATCTAAACCTGAAAAATTCTCCTCGTTCTGTGCCCTGTCTTGTCCTGCATTTTGCAGAACATATATAGAAATTGGGGAAGGAAGAGATTGTGGCTTGGAGCTGGGGTTCTCCACATTTTGGCTACCACATCAGAAGAATATGGCAGATAACATTTATACATGCTACACCACCATATGCTTACTCAAATTTTGACAAAATTCCTCAAATATTTATGGGCAGTAAAACAAATGGGTAGGTGAACATTTTTCTTGAGATGTGTAGTCACTAAAAAATGTGAGTCGCTGTTAAGAGTATGTCAGTAAATCTAGCTCAGTACTTCTGCAGTGTAGAGAAGACTGACTTTAGATTATGAAAACATTTTACATGCCGTCTTTAAGTGCGTGTGAGCAAGAGTGAGGTTATTAGAGATATAAATCTGAATTTGCTCCAATTATTAAAAGAGTAAACCATTTGCAAAGTTTGGTACTTTATGTATTATTAGAAACAAACTTCTTGCAATGCATCCCACAACTTAGTGTGCTACAAACAGAGACCATCCCTATGGCCTAAGGAGAGGGCAGAGCTGTTTCATCTACTAGGGACAAGGCTTCAATGTGTAGAGCCTGTACATTTTGAAGAACCTAAGAGTCATGAAAAATACTTGAGATCTGAAACAAATGTACGAGGAACATGACAAAATGAAATTAATACTTGTTTAAGTAAATGTCTAGACTATGCAATTAAGCAAAAAAGTAACTGTAACTCAACCCTCTATAAAAAAAATTAAAAAAAAACAACCAACCAAACCCATTACTGTTCAGTTGATTCTGACTCATAGCGACTCCCTGTATAGTTAGCTAAAAATTATATCTGATTTGGGTTGTGGGTGCATTTTAATACGCTATTCTGTATTAGGAGGGTCTTTCAAAATTAAGATTGTGTAGAGACATAAAAGGCCTTTACATCAGCCCCTAAATAGGGAATCTGCATCACCCAAATATAGAGTTTGGTGGGGCTCACAGAACAAGGGAAGACACTGGGAAGAGGAAGGGAGAGCAGAGTCTGGTCAGGGGTTGCAGGGAAGAAGTGGCTCCATTTCTCCTTAGCCTGGACCATGTCTTCCATATGACATCCACTCCCAATTCTCCCTTGTTATAGAGCTGAAGCAATGACTCCCACCCTTCTGCCATCTCCCTGGGAGCTTCTGAAAATGATGGAGAGAATCTCTCTCTGTTTCTGTTGAGAGAGATGGGTGTTTTCAAAGCGTTTGAGGAAAGCTAGCTAGGTAATTCTGACCCAAGCTAAATCCATCTGTTAGTGGACCTGCCTGTTGTACCATCCAAAACTCTCAGGTCTACATTCTGAGATACTGGGTCCATCTGAGAGGCCTGGTCTTGGTGGCTATTTTTCTCTTCTTGGGTACTTCTTTCATTCCTTTCCCTCCTCTTTCTCCCTGGGAAAGGGATTTCCTTTACTAACATGGGGGGTGAGAATAAGCCTTTAATGTTGCTAAATATTCATTAATGTCTTTTGCCTACTGGAAAAAATATAATAGGATGATGGCCAAACGGAGTTAAAAATAATAATCCACTCTTTCAAGCACTATATAAGGATTAACTCATTTAAGCCTCACAATTACCTCATTAAGTTTGTTGTTATCCACACTTTACAGATGAAAAACATGAAGCAGGCAGAAGTTAAGTAACTTGCTCAAAGTTACCCAGCTAGTCAGGGGAGAACTGGAAAATGAACTCAGGAAGTCTGGCTCCAGAGCTTCATGTCTTCGCCTACTGCACTGCGTTCTTTCCCACTCAGCATAGCTCCCTGCCTCTTCTCTACCCTTCTGGCTCTTTTTTCTTGTTCAGCTGAATATTCTTTTAGGGCTCATGGAAGTGCTTTTGTGAGACATTTTTGTGCCTATAATTTTCCTCTCTTATCACCTGGGACTCTTTGCTAACTGAGCCTAGAAACCTCCAAAGATACTTGCCAAAGAAGCAACAGCCACTGAACGAAATGAAAATTCTTCCTCCCACAGACAGTAACTTTTGTTGTAGAACATTCTTAGTAGCCAGCCAGATCTCGCTGCTCTTCTCCCCACCCCATGTATGGTGCCTTACTTTTGGGGTAATAAAACATCATTGGAACTGTGAGAAGATAGAGCTGTTTTTACGAAGACTTATATCAGGCATCTTACTGTTTTCTTGAGAAATAACATGTTAATAACTGGTGGAGTTGGGAGAAGTAGTGAGAAAATAAAGTAAATTTCCTTCTGAGGAAATGGGTTTGTTTTCTAGTAGGGCCTTTGTTTATATAAATTTGGGGCCAGTGCTTTAGAATAGAGGCTGAGCAATGCTACCAGTGGCCCTTCTTTGGGCTTATTCTAGAAAAACTCAGCCTTTCCTCTAAGTAAAAGTTGAGATACTTAAAATATACTGGTTTGTTGTTAGGTGTCGTTGAGTCAATTTTCAATTCATAGCAACCCCATGTGACAGTAGAACTGCCCTACAGGGTTTTCTTGGCTGTAATCTTTATGGAAGTCAATTGCCAACTCTTTCTGCCACGGAGCCACTGGGTGGCTTTGAACTGCCAGTCTTTTGGTTAGCAGCAAGAGTTTGCTAAATTATCAGTCTGCCTGAGGCCCTTGTCTGAATCAGGCCTGTTCCCTTCCCTGCACTCACGGAAGTTCCATTGTTCCCTCCTCACAGTCTGTCATGCTCTGAGCAAGTTCATCTGTTTAGAGTCAGAGGGCTGGACTCATACATTGGGGTTTTTATTTCCTTGCATACCTTCCTCCCTGGGACCTTCTGGACACCATTATCAGTAGATACATTCGCTATTTATTTGTTACCTTTTCGCCTGATTCTCTCTTTTTCATACTCTTTCCATAGTCCGTTTTCTTCATGTTCCCTTCCTCATTGTTAATCAATCATCTTTTCCCCAGCCCTAATAGCTGATAGATAGTCCAGAGCTTCAGAAGGAACAGATATTACCTGAGTAGTGTGAAGAGCTAAGGTAAGAATGGCTCCATACTTAACCCTTCTCAGCAAAAGGGAAACATGGACCCTTCCTGAGGTTTAGAGAAGAAGTGAGGCAAGAAGGAGGGCTATATTAGTGGAGCCGGTGATAACGTATTGATTCCCTGTACTCAGAACAGTTTCCCTGGGGGGTTTCTATGGATAAGGAGGTCTAGACACAAGCAAGAGCCATTTGTTTGGAACTGCTTGGGGGAGAAGCACAAGAAGTTTATGAGGAACAGGCAATGAAGATGGCCCCTCTCAATCTCACCATCTACCCCACTCCTCATTCCCTTTAGGGAAGATTTGAATCTAAGTCAGAGTAGAGAAATATATCCTTTAGGCTCCTTCTGGATTTCCATTTGGTAATCTATTTTCTTGCACAGGGAGGCCCAACTTCCAAGATGTTCGGCAAGTCTCACGTGAAATATTGAAGGTAATAGCTAAATTTAATATGATTAAATATAATCAAGTTAAAATATAGTTTAATTAATAGTGCTCCAGGAAGGAGATGTTATTATGAACACTGGCCTTTACAAAGTGACATATTAAGTCTTAAGGAGGTATTTTAAGGTTAAAATATGGATAAGCAGAAGTGGAAGGGGAGGGAATTTAAGGTAAACACCGAAGGAGTGAAAGGGACAAACAACAAAGGTAGGGGACAAATGCTGCTGTGTAGAAATGGTAGAATGAAGTTAGAAAGGTATGGTGGGGTCAAATTCTGGGGTGAGGGGATTGGAGACAGGGCAGAACCTCTGTTGGCTTTTGAAACATGATTGAGACGGAAGTTCTACAAGCAAGTGAGGTGCTGAGGGCCAGAAGCTATTCCTACATCAAAGTGAGCATTCTCTAGGGGATCTTTCCCCTGGAGAAACCTAAAATTCAGAAATCCATGCTGTCCTTGGTGATCTCTGCATATCTTCAGAGGTGCTTTCTGTTCTATCCCTTTCAGCAGATTCATCAGCTTCTTAGTCATTATAGAAAGGATTTTAAAGTGCGTCATGACTCACACCAACCTTACCATCTTCCACCCTGCAGTTTTTGTCCTACTTGGCATCCCTGGGCTGGAGGCTTATCACATTTGGCTGTCAATCCCCCTCTGCCTCATGTACATCAGTGCAGTCCTGGGAAATAGCCTCCTGATGGTGGTCATCATCACAGAACACACCCTCCATGAGCCCATGTACTTCTTCCTCTCCATGCTGGCCATGACGGACATCCTGCTGTCCACCACCACTGTGCCCAAGGCCCTAGCCATCTTCTGGCTCCATGCTCATGACATTGTCTTTGATGCCTGTGTCACTCAAGTCTTCTTTGTCCATGTGATGTTTGTGGGGGAGTCAGCCATCCTATTGGCTATGACCTTTGACTGCTTTGTGGCCATCTGTGCACCCCTGAGATATACAGCGGTGCTAACATGGTTTGTTGTGAGAGGGATTGCTCTGGGCATTGTTACTTGAAGTTTCTGCATCGTCTTCCCAGTGATCTTCTTTCTGAAGCACCTGCCCTTCTGTGGGACCAACACTGTCCCCCATTCCTATTGTGAGCATATTGGAGTGGCTTGCTTAGCCTGTGCTGACATCACTGTCAACATCTGATATGGCTTCTCAGTGCCCATTGTCATGGTCATCTTGGATGTGATCCTCATTGCTGTGTCCTACTCACTTATCCTCTGAGCGGTATTTCATTTGCCCTCCAAGGATGCTCGGCGTAAGGCCCTCAGCACTTGTGGATCCCACCTCTGTGTCATACTCATGTTTTATATTCCATCCTTCTTCACCTTATTGACCCATCGCTTTGGACGTAACATTCCTCGACATGTCCATATCCTGCTGGCCAATCTTTACGTGGTAGTGCCACCAGTGCTTAACCCCGTTGTCTATGGTGTGAAGACTAAGCAGATCAGGGAGAGTGTAGCCCGTCGGTTGTTTGAGATTAAGGCTTGGTGCTGTGCCTCCCCTTTGGGCTGATGGCTCCCCACATATCCCCATTTCCTATTTAATCAAGGAAGCTAGGTGCATTTCAATGCAGAGATTTCCAGGACTGAAAGGGCTTTTCCTCTTCTTCCTTCTCTTCCTCTTTCTCTTCCTTCTCCATCCTCTTCCTTCTCTGACTTTTCTCTTCTTTGTCTTCTCTCCTAACTTCTTTGCCTCTTTCTGCAGTTTCTCTTTTTTTCCTGCCTTCTTCCCGCCTTCCTCCCCTCCACAACCCAGAAATGATTAGTAAGTGTACTTGACTCCGATATGAACATGTGGTATCTTCAGTAGACCAGATAAGTTCCAGAAACACAGGGAGCTAAACACACCATATGAAGTGAGGGCATGAACAAATGAATGAAAACAATTTTGTATTTAACATCTCAAGGAGGTTCAATTTTTTTTATCCAAAATGTGCATTGATTCTATGTACAGAATCAAGTACGTTTCCGCTCACTTGTACGATGGCAAATGTTCTTGAAGAAGAGCCATGCATACCATTAGGCCGTCTCGAAAACTCTTGCTCATTCTTCAAATTTCAGTTCAAGAACTGCCTTCCCTGAGAAGTCTTTCCTGATCTTCTCAGGCAAGCCAAGCCTCCTATGTTTGTAAGTCTATTGCATCTAATACAACTCTCCAAATGTGCAAAAGGAATTGTAATGGGTTGTTCATTTATCTGAAGCCTCAATTGACGGTAAACTCCTTGATAACAGAAAACCATGTGTCATTCTTATTTGTACCCCCAGTGTATTACAAAATGCCTGGTACATAATAGCTAGTTATGAAAATGAATGAAAGAATGAATGAGAGCATAATTGTCTTCCTGAAGTCAGAACATAACACCAAAACAACAAGTTAAATTAGTCCACAGAACCAGTTATTAGTAAATCAGCCCCTCACAAAGGCTGTTTGGCACCATGGAGGCAAATCAGCTACTGATCCACAATGCTTCTTATTTCTCAACTCTTTACTTCTAATGCAGAAACTGGGGAATAGAAAGAGTAGGAAGAAACAGAGTACTCTTGATTCTCCTACCTGGCTTCTGACTAGCCCCAGGGAATTATAGCATACTTTTTATGGCCAGGTTAGCAAAACTGAAATAGTTTCTTGGGGGTTACAGTCTTCACCGTCATTCATGCTTTTCCTGAAAAGGTTTTGCACAATCATTTTCTCAACCACCACCTACACTAATGAGTTCCACATTTCTCTCTCCAGCCCAGAACCCTCTTGGAAGTTTTAGACTCATAAATCCACCTATAAAATGGATATCTCCTCCAGAATATGTAACTCCCACTCAAACCAACTTTTCTTCCTATATTCCTTTTTTTTTGTAAACTATATTATGACGAACTCATCAACTTTGCTAAACTGGAAATCCTGGAATCTTTCTTAACTTCTTCCTCTCAGGCATGCTCCTCAACAGGTAATTGGTTTAGATGCATATTGACTGTACCACTAAATAGTTAAGTGGATGGTATTTGGAATCGTATCAGGATCAAGTCCTGTCTCCATCATTTTCTACCTGGGTGAGCTTGTGAAATTTATTTAACATTTTTAGTCCTCAATTTTTTCATCTGTAAAACAGAGCTAACAATAGTACCTTAAAGGGTTGTTGAGAAGATTAAATGAAATAAACCATGTACTGTATGGCACTTAATACAATCCTTAGCTCACAGTATCTGAGAAATAGTAACATCAAGTTATTAGTATTGTTAGTATTCTTTTTTTTTTAACATTGCCTCTAACAGTTATTTACACCCTTATATTTCACTTCAGATATTTTGTTAGCTTTTAACTGATTTCAATGTTTTCAATCTTTTACACTTTTACCTAAACTATAAATAGGCTGTAAATTAAGCATTCTAAAAGGCAGAGCTGACCATGCTACTTCTTTGTCAGATACTTTGGAGGCTTCTTCATTACTTACAGAAGTGTTTTCTACAAAATATTCTGTAGAAATAGATATCAGATTTCAATGGATGTTTTGTAAAAAAGTTCCATGGCCAAATAAGCATGGAAAATGCTGACACTCTGTGAGTCACTCACATGACTGTCCAAGAGAAGACTAGAATTTGTAGCATTCCCCATGCTTAACATGTCCATAGATACCTATATTTATGACCATATAATTTTTGTTGGTGGCACATCATTTTACATCTCTAAAAAATCCTAGTGTTCCATTAGCCACAGTTTGGAAATCACAGGACTATGGAATAAATTCTAAGTTAAACATTAATAATCTGGCCCTAAATTGTTTTTCCAGTATTGTATCAAAACACACCACCTAATAATAATGATAATGATAATAATAATAATAGCAGCAGCTATTAACATAACATGAGATTACTCCATCTCTTAACATAGGGACCATGTTAAAAGCTCTGCTGCAGTATTTCATTTAATCCTCATAAAATCACAAAACGTAGTAATGTTATTATCTCTGTTTTACACACAGGGAAACCCAAGGCTCAGAGAGGATAAATAATCAAGTTTATGCATTTCCCAAATGGTAGAATACCAGTGTCAACTCCTCTTTGAAGTCTGAATCAATTCCCCCAAGTCAGAGGTGATCACCTTATCATCTGGTTCTCCACAGCACTGACACGTATGATCTTAACTGAATATTAATTATTCTATTTATGAACCCACTAGACTGCGAGTTCTGTGAGAACAGAGTGTGTTATTCATCATTACAGTTTCAGCATCTAGCATAGGGTTCAATATGCATATTTACAGATTGACTAATTTGTAATATTGGTGAGATGGTTGACCTCTGGACCCTTCCACTGTTAAATATTATCCAATTTTATGACTGAAAATTACTTGGGGACACACACTCACCCCACACTTAGCTCATTCTCCTGATATGCTGTTTCTTCTCTCTCGCCACAGGTTTCTATGTACATTGAAGTCTAGCAGGTATGGGCTGGACTTCAGCATTCTATGTATTGACAAGTAGCAATCTCAAACCACTCTGTGTCCATAGGTTAGCCAGACATACGAAGTTATTGACAGATGCAGTATGTACAGAGAGCTTCAGGAAGGACATCACCTACCTTGTCTGGTTCCCTAGTCAGTGGTCCCTGGAGACTGGTTCTGCTGGGGTCTACTTCTGTCTGATTATACCAAATACTCCCTGAAGACCTAGTAGGGTAGAAACTTTCACCTTACACACAGGGATGCCTAAGGATGAGGTACAAATACTGTCCCATTTTACTCCATATCCTCTGCATTGGGCAGCTTCTTTTGCATGTTGAGGAAGAAATTTTTCTTTAACTGGGGTAAGTTTCTGGGCAGGGATTTGGTTCACAGGATTTTTTTGGGTTTCTCAGAATAAACTCAAGAAACTGTTGATTCTGGTAAGTCAGGAGATAATTTCTAACACAGCTTATGTCTATCTGTGGCATATTTATCTTATTATGCTACCAATATCTTTCTCCTTTATCAGCAGAGGGGAACCTCTTACCCGAGACCTAGAGAATCATTTTATCTGTCCAGGTCAGTCAACTGTTCTCTTTTACTACTGGCACCAAGGATCCTTCTTTCAAGTAGTCTTGGTCCCTTGTGGGCTTGGGACCACTTTAAAGTAGACAAAGGCCAATATGGCAGATAGCCATTTAGAGAATTTATTTTCTTTGTGTAACACATGAGCTGCATGTGAGACAGACAACATGCAACCCTAAGCCTATCTCAAAGGTACACATTTTTCCTTTTGATCCAGATGTGTAGCTCCCAGGAAACCCATTCAGCATAGTTTTACAGTCTTCTTCCTTTCCAGTACCTACCTAATAAACATTATAATCATCTCCTCATAAGAAATAGTGCTGAAGGAAACATTTTCAGGGGAGTTGGGATAAATCAGCTTGCTACTAAAACTCATTTTTTTGTTGTTCTTACTTTCTTTCCATCTTATTGTTTTGAGCACATAGAATCATATGATTTTCAGTATCTACCCATAAACATTGAAGAATTATGCTTTGCTTAGATGGGCTGTCTGTTAGATCCCCTTTCCATTCCCCATGTCCAGCATCAATTCCTAAGGCAAATGCCTAAGAGTACATATATAGTGATGACAGATTCCTGTGTGCTAGACACTGTTCTAAGGCTGTACACATATTAACTAATTCAATCCTCACAACAACCCTATCAAATACATATTGCTATTACCTCCAATTTTACATGTAGTCTACCTATTCAAACCAAACCAGTTGGTGTTGAGTCGATTCTTACTCATAGTGACCCTATAGGACAGAGTAGAACTGCCCCATAGAGTTTCCAAGGCTGTAATCTTTATGGAAGCAGACTGCCACATCTTTCTCCCACAGAGTAGCTGGTGGGTTTGAACCCCTAACCTTTTCGTTAGCAGCCGAGTGCTTTAACCACTGCACCACCAAGACTCCCCTAGTCTATATATAAACAAAGGAAAGTTTCTAAGAAGAGAAGGAAGCTGTAATTTATCACCTAGGAGATTTCACCAACATATAAAGAAAGATAGAGGGCTGGAAGGTGGGAACATTGCTTTTTCAAAACGGCAGAGCTGCTCCACTGCCTAGTTCGTAATCAGCTATGACTCTACCCCTGAAATGGGGAGTCCCAAACAATCCCTTAATTCCAAGGAGCCATTTTAACACTATTCAATCAAGATTGGATGCATCCTTTCATGATGCCTCATTGAAGCATTCTGTAACTTTAAAAATATAGTGTCAACCAGGATTTTGCACTAAAATTTCTTGAAATTCTTGATAAATAGAAATAGTTTTTTCCTCTGACCTATGCTTTGCCTATGTTTAATTTAATCTTTCCAAAGTAATGTGATGAGACACAGATTATTATGTGTGTGTTTACAGACTTTTCCATCTGCCAAAAAATTCAGTTTTTGCCTGGTCAGTTTCCCCCTTTTCTATTACCCTCTGAGGAGAATTCTGGGGTTTTTTTTTGGTGAAAATGATTCTTAGAGCTTTTGTAAAGCAGAGTGAGGCAAGAGAGTCAAAACA